TTTTTTTTTTTTCAAAAATCAATGTTTCGACTTCACGCAGACTGTCTTGGCGAAATTTTTTATTATTTAGAAGAAGATGCCTCTTCATTATTTTCATGTCTTTTAGTAAATAGATTATGGTGTGAGACCACTTTACCCTTTTTATGGAAAAATCCCTGGAAACATATCCTTTTATCAGAAGTTATGTCTGAACGATTTTTCACCTTACTTTGTTCATATTTAGAACGAGGAACTATTGACTTCTTATTCAAATGTGGTATAACATTTTTACCTTATACTACAATAAATCGTAAAACTTTACTTGATTATCCAAAGTACATTAGATATTTGGATTTCGTGAAATTGCGCCAGATAATTAACCAGTTGATTGCAGGTGATACAGCAAGGAATTTATTGGAACTTGAAATTTCAAAGATGTTGTTCTCTCGATGTACTTCAATTCTCGGACTTATGCTTATAGATGATTTACATCCAATACATCATTTTCCAAGAGCGAATCAAGCACTTTCACAACTTAATGAGTTTCAATCAAAATCAGAAATGAATTCGTTATTCTTTTATGGTTTATCTCAAATCTGTCGAAATATTCAGAAATTGGATGTTTTTTACACAAGGGAGAATTCTGGACTAGTAACTTTGATCGAATTACAACATGAGTTAAAATATTTTACGTTATCAACTGATATTTTTCTTGATACTCCTTCTCCATATTATGATTCTCCATGCGAAAGTATCGGAAATGCTTTGATCCTTCATAAAAATTCTCTTATATTGTTAGAGATTTCCGGTAACGGGTGTATTTCACTTGAAATTATTAAAGAATTAACTAATTTACGGAGATTGATACTCGGAATTTCATCTGAAGAGTTTGAAGATTTCGCTCATTTAGAAAATTTAAAGTTGCCATTTCTCGAATCTCTTGAAGTTCATTATATAATTCCTTCGTTGAAGAAGCTATCAAAGTTAATCGAGTCTACAAATGGAAATCTTCAGATAATTTTCTTGGGGGCTGACCTTTTAGCTGATCTCGGAGATATTGAATTATATAATAAAACAATCGCGAAATATTGTTCAAAACTTAAATTTGTTACAATATATTTGATAGATCCTAGTCTTTATGGTTAGAAGGAATATTTGAATCTTGTCGGAACTTGGAGGTTATAAATTTTATTGGTTGGAATGATAACATTGATGGGGCTAAACTTTTAAATATTATCAGGAAGTTTGGTTCATTAAACCTATCACATCTTATATTCGATGGTAAAAGTTGTTTGACACCTGATGCTTTGGAATTATTTTTAGAAACTTGGAAAACGAGAAACCAATTATCTTTATCATTTTATGGTTTAAGAAGTCTTCCTCTCAGTTTGGAATTAATTGGAGAAACATTTCTTGATAAAGGTATTCTCAAAAATTTCAACATATATGAACATGATGTTAATGAATTAGTTTATAATCATTATATCACTATTAAAAGAAGGTAATGATTTAATTAATTATTTGTTTGTTTTGTTTGTTTGTTTGTTTATTTATTTATTTATTTTTTTGAAATAAAAAAAAAAAAATTATCAAATTCTATCAGCAGTGACAATATCCCTAAACTTGCGAGATTTTTATAGCATTATGTAAAATATTGGACTTTTTTTTTTTTGTATAAAGTTATTTTTTATATTTGTATTCATTTTATCTTATGAAATGTCAATGATCTCTATTGTGAGCCCGCAGTATGATCATACATAAAGGATTACCTTTTTTTTTGAATCTACGAAAAAACCGGACCCAAAACCAGGTCTGCTGCGGCAAAATATTTCGTCAAATGCACGTGCCATCATTCTTGAAAAAAATTTGTGATCTTTGTGGCTTGGATAAACACCCTTCCCCTGAAGCGATTTGCAATTACAATTCACGACATTTATTCAAGAATAAGTAATAACTTACCTTCCGATTACTTATTAAAGCTATCAGTAATAATTTTCATTGTTTTGTAGCTTTATGCAAACAAAAAAAAAGACTTTTTAATTCAAAGTGTTCGTTTCTCAGACAAAACATTTGATCGTTGATAGATAAATCTTTTGCCGTAAATATTTATCTTAATACCCAAACATTTTTTTTTTTGTATATGCTAGTAAGGGTTTAACGGAACCTGTTCTAGATTTCAAAGTTTGTACCATCTTACTAAACATTTGGACCTTATTTAAAAAAAAAAAAAAAAAAAGAAAAAAAAAAAG